GTTGAATTCATTTCCTTGAATTATTCCCTAGTCTAGGGATTTATTTGCCGGCAATGGCATCGCTAGTGAATAGTGATTAAGAGGGACGACACTTGGATAGAGAAAAAGACTGTCGCTTTGGTGAAACGGGTAGGAACGGGGGAGGAACGAACGAAGGGTGGATCGTGCGGAATTCTCTTGGGGGAGGGTTGAAGTTGAAGAGAGATGGTGGTGAAAAACAGACAGAAGTGTAGCAGGAAGGAAGAAGTGGAAGGAAAAGAGTCCAAGAGGTCCTAAAGTGGGTATAGCAACTAGGGGTTGGTATTGGACGGGGGTTGAATTCTATGCCGTGCTATAAGGTAGGCTAGAGACGGAGGGTGGTTAGTAGTAGGTTGGGTGAGAAATACATAATGCAGCAGCCGGACGTCTCCGACACCCCCTAACTCAGCCGGAGCCGCAGCAAGTCAGGGGCTTCTGGAGTCGGGATCGCGAGGAGGAGTTCCTAGTGGCAGCCAAGGGGTTGCAAGGACGTGGGGGTCGCATTGATTTACGCGACCAGGATGAAGCAAGGATGTCTCTCGTTCTCTTCGTTCCTTTTGGCTCATGCAGATATATATATATATATATATATATATATATATATATATATATATAACCAGAACTCTCCTTCTCTCTCTCTCTCTCTCACCCTCTCTGTACCACCCTGGAGAACGTGGGGCCAACAATTCACTCCACTCGGGTTCCCGAGGCGATCCGTTATCAGGTCGGCATTGTTGCGGTTACTTACGTGTCTATCGAATTCCCAGGATTTGTAACGTACACCATTTTTCCACCCTTAATAAAATCCATCGAATTCGCCCCCCAGAGAGAGAAAAGTCAAAATCACCAAAAAAGCGGCTCAACGAGCATCAGCTACCGACTGATGACTCTTTCCGAAAGGATTAGAGCGCGATAAGGGTAAGTCCAGGCATAGATAATTTCACAAGGGTGACTTTGGAGGTGCATCGAACGGCGAGTGGAAATCGGGTAAAGGGTTGCGAAACGGTCAGTTACGAGGGACCGTCAGTGTAAAACGTGTTTAGAGGGTGTGTTAGGGGTTGTAGAGGGCGTAGCTACTGACTCGTTTAAACAATCGGTTACGGTGGTGGTTCGGAACCCTCGACTACCCTCCAGCCACTGGCACCCACCCCCTCCTTCATGCCAAGAGAAGTAGGCTGAAGCGTTTGTGCGTTTGTCCGTCCGTTCCGGAGACTATTAATTACCGTAGAGTCCAACGTTACGGGAACCCAGCCAACCCGACGGCCGTATCCCAACCCCCTGGAAACAACCCCCAGAGCGTCAGGGGTTGGCCGGACATCTCACACTACCGGGAACTCTCCTATATACTATTGACATCAAACTCCATACCATTCCCGATCCCTAGTCAGTTCAGGCTGGCCAACGCGACAAATGTAATCTCGCGTGCCAGTGGCGCTCCTCTGTAACCCTTATTCGCGTGCGTCACTACCCCTGGTACAAAGGGTCAAAGTGTAAATAGTAAAGGTCGCGAGGTCTACGGGATTCCATTTGTAAATGACGTGGGACTTGGGTTTCTATTACCAGGAAGCACTGACTTCGGTCTATATCGCAAACCACCCCCGGGGACGGCATTTATTACGTAATTCGCTTATGGGGTTGGTTAAAGAAGGGACGGTCCTGCCGCACCGAAGTTCACCTATGGAGAACCACTGGCAGTATGCCAGGAGCCAGTGGTGCGAGTAAACCAATAACGCGTCGGCCACGCCGGGTGCCAGATTCAAATCCGGACGGGGTGGCGAAACGTGGCGACGGAGGACGAACTACCCCGGGATATTTCGAATCTATCTACATCCACGCGGCTTTCAGGTTTGACACGCCATTAGGTACGGCGCGGGATATGGGATGTCACGTTGGTACGAAGGTGGTTAGATGCCGTTGATTTTCTTGATCTCGTATATCCTTACCGTGATAAGGTTTTCCTTGACAGTTCGGATGAGGGTAGTTTTTATTTTTTTCCTCTCGGGATAACTTTGCGATACGTATTGGCAAATCGAGGGTACGAGGAACAAGATGAAAAAGTGATGTTGAGGAATATGGATAAAATGAAGATATTGCAGAAGAGTTGGGCAATGGGG